AACTATGGCTTTCTAAAGTGAAAGGGCCAGCTTTACCCAAAGAAAGGTGGAGAAAGGGTTTTGTTTTTTTTTTCAATCCCAAAAGTTGGTGCTCACAATAGAGTACCATCCAAACAATTATATTATTGAGTAACTGAGCCACTCATGAGGTACCCCTTTGAAAAATTGTCTGGATGCTGTTTTTTTAATAAGGGTTTAATAAGGCATCTAATTATTTGGGAAACCTTGCATTTTAAAACTTTAACACAAACATTGCTTTCTAAAGTAAAGGGACCAGCTTTAGCCAAAGAAAGGTGGAGAAAGGGTTTTTGTGTTTTTTTTTCACTCCCAAAAGTGGGTGCTCACAATAGAGTACCATCCAGACAATTATATTATTGAGTAACTGAGCCACTCATAGGGTAATTAATATGTTAATGAATAATAAAGCAATAAAAAAAATAATTAAAAAAGGAAATAATGAGAAAAAATTAAACAATAGTAAATACAATTAAAATAAAAATGGAAAAGTAAAAAGTAAAAATAAAAAATAAAATAAAAATAGATAAACTAAAAATAAAAAGAAATTAATAAATAAAGTAATTAATTAATTTCAAACAAAAAGCATTTGGAAAAAAAAAGTTGAAAAAAATAAATCTGGAAAAAAATTCTCACAATAGAGGCTCCCCCCCAACAATTAGCATGTTACTGAATTAGGAGCAAGAAATTTCTCACAATAGGGTACCAGGCTTCTAATCAGAGGCAAACATTATCTATAAATGGGTAATTTTCCACAATCATCTTAAATTACCAAAGGGAAAATAAAAAAAACATCAGTCATCAGTCAATCTGTGGTCCCCGAAAGCTCCCATTGTTGCGGTGACCAAAAATGGGACAAGGCGAAGCGTCCTCCTTATGTTTGTTGGTTAACGCGTTAGCCATAGGTATATGCCCCCATAAACCCTGGTTCACGAACTCCTAACGAACCACAAAACTAGGTAAACAATGGTAAACCCAATAAACCATGAATAATCCCATAGACTGTGGCCTAGGTATATCCCCCTACGAACTTGAGTTAACCAAATTATAAGTCAACTTAGCTATCGACGGCCTCACCATGTAGCGAATGGTTATTAACCCCTTACTCAACGGCATGATCCACCAGGGGAACGAAGGAAATCGGTCACCGCGGTTTCAGGAGGCGAAACCCGCAAAGGCCGCCGGCGCCAAGGACTCCAAGGACCTCTGCTTAAAGGTGACATTTTTTGGTCCCACGGGGTACTCATGGATACCCCGTATTGACCAACAAAGATGTGAAAAAATATGTTAATTTGATACGATTTCATCAGTTTTTGGACTTACTGGTAGCCTCAGGATCCCTGAAAGTGTTGCTTTGAAAGAGAACATCCCACCACAATGTTGTAAAAATCATATGAGATAATCCAATCGACATAAGAAAAAAAGGTGAAATTAGTGGAGAATGTACCATGATGAATCACACAGAAAATGCTACATGTAGAGGAGAATGGTAACCTCAGGGCATTCACATCTTATGAACATGAAGCCTTGGGTTGCTTAAACCAAGCAGATTATCAGTTGTTGCGGGTGCGGGTCTTCCGCCCAAACATGATCAGCCAGAGTTGATTGATCCAGCATGATCCAGCTGCAGGGATGATTCGGGTTGATAGTTTATGATAGTTTGCCTCAAGCCCCATATATATATATATATAGATATAGTTATAGATATATATATATATATTATATATATACATGTATATGGAATCTCCTTGGTCCACAACTTCAGACATGTACATTCTTGCAGTCTTGCAGGGACCATTGGGTCAGTGCTCACTGAAGCCAACCATGATGCTCTTGGGGAGGCTTCCAAGTTTTTCCTGCAAAGGTGTTGGGTAACTATGCCTCCAAATGGAGATGTATGGGCTATCTTGGAGGATATGACAAACAATGCAAAATGGCAAATGGATGGAAAGCGGCGGCAAAAAAACATCCGGTCAAACTGTGTCAGATCATAGCTGAACCACACCTGGAACATGCTGCAGATGACAGATTTCCACCGCAGCAACTGTAAACACAAACAGGTGACCAGCAGAGTCACTCGCGAAGTACAATCAAATACACGTATTATTCTTATTATTCTTATTATTATTATTATATAATATTGATAGTTATTAATAAGGAATTTTCGTGGGAGTTGGTTGTTTCATGGGAGATAATTGCAAGAAGTAAAGGGCCAATACAGCAGCCTTGAAGTCGTTAGACCGTTAGACACATGTTTGATGTATGAATTGGATGTGCCCTTATGGTTGATACTGGGGGCCCTGTGCGAAAACAGCACACCCCTGTTCTAGGTTTGGATTCTTCATCACGTCCTTTCATCTTTCTGAGTAGGAATATGAAGGATGATGTTTTTTGCAGGGCAACTTGAACGCTCAAAGGGAGACTTCATACCACGACGAGTAAGGGCTTGACGCTGTTCAGAGAGGCCAAATTTGATTTAATCGTTTTCACACAAGTCAAAATCAAAATGGGTAATAGCAACAATGTACTGAGACAATGGCAGCAACCAGCAACAAGATGACATCTGAAAAGTCGAGTCTATGATATCAATTATCTCCCATGAAACAACCAACTCCCGCGAAACTTGTTATTATTATTATCATCGTTATATTATCATCATGTTTATTATTATTATTATCATCGTTATATTATCATCATGTTTATTATTATTATTATTATTACTACTATTATTTCGATCAATTATAATTTTATATTTAGATGATTATGAACCACTCGCATCGATGTGCGACCTGAAACGACCCCACCCTTATTTTTGTTTGTTGACCGCTGGAAAACCATCAATTGTTTATAGCGTTGCACCTGGTGTGAGATCTTACAATGTATTGTGGAACATCCATATGATGGGCAAACTTACATACATCATCGTTTCTCCCCAGAAAGACCCCGTACATGTTTGACGATCCGCAGTCACTCAAGTAGATTGGTGGATGTCAAATATCGGGATACCCTCTGGTAAACGTTAGCTGGAAAATCGCCACTGTTTGGTAAATCAACGACCTAAACCTGGTTGGTGGTTTCAAACCTTGTTTATTTTCCATAATATATGGGATAATCATTCCCATTGACTCATATGTTTCAGAGGGGTGGCTCAACCACCAACCAGAATAGTTATGTCAAACTCCCAGAGGTTAAGCCCATCAGCCAGGGACCTGATTCGTACCTGATTTACTGAGACAATATGTTTTTTACTGAGACAATCCATTCTACACGCAGTTAGAGGGGGATGATATAAGATATGGGATTATATTGATTATATGTATATATATATATATATATGTATCATCCATTTACTAGCCACATTCAAAGTAGTTGCGTTGCCATTTTCGCCGTAGTTTTCTTCCCTGATCAATTGTTGTCCCAGGAGTCGGCGAAGGAGAAGAAGAGTGATGCCAAAGCGGCAAAAGCGGAAAAGGCCAAGGACCTCACCGGAGGTTTATACCACTACCCTCTGGCAAACTAACATAGCTATGGAAAATCACCATCTTGAATAGGTAAATCAACTATGAATGTGCAAGTTTCAATAGCTATTTTGACATAGCCAGAGGGTATTCATGGGGATTTTACCAACATTGGGATTACTGGGGGGCAAAACTGTTTTAGATAAAGCAAATTGAGGCCGCATTTGTGGCTCTGAACGAGTGAAGAAACACTCACTGTTGACCATTTTCCTCTTTTTTTGTTCACTCCCCTCCTTTCCTTTGTTGCTATATACGGAGAATCAAACATAGCAAGGGCAATTCTCCATTGATGTTCCCACTGAAACCTCCCATTTTTTTTTTGGAGTTTCCCTTTGAAACCCATGAAATCACCATGTTTTCATAGGTTTCCCCGGAAATCTGTGAGACTTACAGGACGCCCTGCCACCTGAAGTGGAGGTACAGTTCAAAAAGAAGGCGCACACGACTTGGGGCGCCTGAAACTGAGACACTACTTGTTTCTGGAATGGATGGTATATATATATATATACTGTAATATATGGCAATGGGCCGAAACCCTGGCACCCGAATGGTACCCTAAGTCATAGCTGGTGAACGGATGGATATTTCCCCATGGGCCAAGGCTTCGTCCATGTTCCGAAGAGACGACTCGTTCGCCGTGGGGGGGGGTTACTGTTTAATCATATTCGAAAGTAAATAAACATATCATATGTAATATATATATATAGATAGATATAGATATAACATAGATATTACATAGACATAGATATTATATATATATATATATATATTAAATAGATATCTTATGGATATTATATAGCCCTGACACTCCATGCCTTGAATATTTACTGACATTGAAATGTACCCTTGAGAAGAGGACATTGGAATGTAGGCTTGAGAAGAGGACATTGGGTTTATCGGAATCTATCGGAATCTATCGGAAGGGTTTATCGGATACCTGCAGCCCTGCAGCCTGTTTTCTTCAAGTGGCTCCCCCTGATGCGGCGTGCAAATGCCAAGCGTGCGCCACTTAGTATGACTTGTGCCTTGGAGCCTTGAGTTCTGCTTAGTTATTTGGCTGCTGCTACAGGTTCATGGGGGCAATCTTCAACAGTGGCATCAACATCTTCAAGGGATAGAGGTGCTCCACCCTGGCCTTGCAGTGATGAAGTGCATGTTTGTGCTGCCTGATGTCGAGTTGTAACGTGGTTCCTTTCTTGGCAGTGCTTGGTTGCTGATTGTTTTGCATTTTCATTGCAGCATTTTGCTCCGGGTGGCTGTACGGGTTTTGACAAGACCTTGGGTGCCACCGTCTGGTCCTTGTTTTCTTTTGAATGTTGATGAATAGTGTGTAAATGTTGACTGATAACGATGTTGATCCAGTAATCTAAGGCCATGGATGTGCAACATGCCATGATCCAGGACAAGCTGCTTTTTTTGAACACAATCTGCATGTAATGATTCAATATGATTCATTACTATTTGCAGGATGTCGTCGAAACCTTTGCTCTTCGTGGCAGCTTCCTGGCTGAGTTGAGGGATGATAGGCAGCACGCCTTCTTCAAAGGGTTGGATTCAGCTGATCCAGCCAGTGTCCAAGCTCTTGAGTCGAATCAAGAGTTTCTGATGGAGATGTGCGCGACCTTGGCCCCTGAACCAATGATTGCACCACATGGTGTGTGGAAGGCCAGGTGATGTATGCATGGTACCTGTTACAATCCTACTTATGTTCCTGTGTTCAGGCGGCGTTCAAACTGCTGGCCAATCGATATGGCATCTTCCCGCAGAAAACCCTGAAGAAGACGATCAAGGTGGGAGGAGTTTACTGCCTGCAGAGAATATGTTGTATGAATTCTGTCCCTGTGTGTGGCAGGATTGGGCCGCTGTCCAAGCTGGACATGCACGTCAGATGACGATGCACGCCCTTGACTTGACCAATAGGTCTCAGGGTTCGAGGTGCCACTTGGGTGTTGGGTGGGTTCACTTTCAATGTCAGTAAATATATTTATATAATTACATATATATTATATCTTAAATGATGAATATCTAGAAGGCATGAATATTTCCTTTCCACCCAGGTGTGCCCAGATCATGATGCTCAAGCAATGCATCCGACGTGCTGTCCAAGAAGGCCTGGTTAGATATACTTATATTTCCAACATTCCCAGCATCCACGGCAAGCTTTTTTTTCCCTCCAAATTTAGTCAATACCTGCAATGCCCGCCCTCTTGACGTGCCCTGCAGCTTCTGACTTCGATGCACCTGGTGGACCGGAGATTGACGTGGGCGAGGTGATCAGAAAGAATCTTGAATGGACACGTTCTCAGGTCAGGAGGGCTCGTGCAGTGTGAGATTATATTAAAAAAACATATGATTAACAGTGTGAATCATGCCTGCACACAGGATCTTGCCACTGCAGAGATGGTCAGTCCGGTCAGCAGCGCATCAGAGATGGACCCAGTCAAGGACTCCAACCAGTGTTGTTTGAATTTGGAACTGTTAGGTTTTCTTTTGCTTGTTTCTTATTTGAATGTGAGGATGTCTCGCCGATGCATCTGGGGACTGCGTCTACATTTGGAGACAAGGCACATGGGCAGCAGTGCACACTCCGGCACACTCCAGTCCAGTCCGGCAATGGTGAAACCTGTCACATGAGTGCATGTGGATTGAATTCTATTTAATTATTTGGAATATAACAATGCCTATCCTTTAATTTTGTCTTATGTGAAAAAACACGATGGACCCTGCATGCAGGTGGATGTTTCTGAGCCGATGTTGACCCAAGAGAAACATGAAGGCCCTGGTTTTTGTGTTCTGTCTATCCAAACCCAAATTGAATGCCCTGGTGCTGCATCTGAACTAGGATCTACAGCCCCTGCAAAGAAGCTCAAGGAGGCTGGGTTCATTGAAATGGGGTTCTTTGGAATGATTTTGTTACACGCTATTGATTCTGCAGTGGGAAACATGGGCCTCTTTGCAATGTCATCTGCAGGATGAGATGCCAGTACCTCCAGTCGATGTTGAGAAGGCCAGTGATATATACGTACAGTTTATAGTAATAACATTACAAATTACTCAGCTGTGGATACAAAATGGTTTGTTTGTATCCTTGGCTGAGTAATTAGTCTATATTATTATATAATAATTATTTAATAATAATATAATTACAGTACATTTATATATTTTTGAAACTATAGCCAAGTTGATCCAATCACCATCAAAAGAAAATGGGAAGGTACGTGCAGTGGCATCTGTGCACCGCCAAGCTGAGAAGGACCCTGCTATGAGTTTTTGCTGAACGTACATATAAAACTTGTTTGCATATATTAATTAATTGATTATTTATATTCCAGAGGATCCATGTATGGATTATTTACCTACATTGGGATTATGTTAAATTACTTTAGGGGTCAATGTAGGTAAATATTCCATACATGGATCCTCTGGGTAAATATAGATAAATATATATATATGTGTTTCATTCCTATCAGGAGCAGCGCCCCTTGCTACCTGTGGGAGTGAAGCTGGATCAAAGCTTGGAGGAACAGGTGAAATCCATGGCTAGCAACATGCCAGTGGATGGAGACCTGGTGGCTCTACAGGATAAGGCGCATATGTTTCTTCCTTTAGTAGCAAACCCGTTGCATAAGTAGTTCAGCACAAACAAACAAGTCACCCAGCTAAAGACTTGGACGGTGTCAAGGTTTGCAGATTATTTGTCTCTCATAAACATGTTTACGGGATGTTTATCATGAGCTGTCAGGTGTTGAAGAATTCCAGGAAAAGGGAACCTGATGAAAATGGAGATGGAGACGCTGAAGACAATCAGGAGCCCAAGCCCAAGAAGCCTCGTGCCAAGGCAAAGGTGAAGGCACAGGCCAAGGGAAAACCTGCGAAGGACAGCTGGATCGTCTTGGCACATCAATATATATATATATACATATTATATATATATTATTTATATATATTATATTTATATATATATATATATTAATATCTTGATATACACAAATTATACGATTTACTAATTACTCAGCTGTGGATACAAAATTGCTTCTTTGCATCCTCGGCTGAGTAATTTGATTTGCATTCTTGTAGTGTGAGTAGAAGTTATCACTCTTGCATTGCATCGATGTTTCATGCACATGATTTATCAGTGCGCTACATTAAAATAAATGTATATCCCTTGATTATTTTTGGGGTAGAGTATGTATTTATATGTCAGGAGACACCGCCTGAGACCAAAGCCACGACCAACAAGGACTGCCTGTATGTGTATACTTGGTTGCCTTTTTTCCCCTTTCCTTGAATCTCGTGAGATTGCAGGATTCTGCAGTGCCTGAGGCAAGACTGCACTCACTATTCAGCAGTGGCATCTGAGTGTGTTGCTCTACTGTAACATGTGGGCCAGGAACCAATGCCAGCTTCGAGCCATGGTGATGCTGCAAAGGAGGACTGCATATATATATATATATGTATATATGGTGGATTTTTTGCACATCACTATAATGCATTAATGTGATTTTGATTTGGAGGAAGAACCACAGCCTGCTGTGGAGAGCTCAGAGGCCACAACTGCTTGGGAACATAGTCATGATTACAAAGTATATATGCTCGCAGGCACCGAAGCGCAAGGGCAGACGCAATGGCAAGGCATGGCATCCAGTGGTGACCCGTTGTTTTGGGCTGCAATGTTCATCCATGATCAATTTTGCCACAGGCAGTGGAGTCTGCTGATGTTTCCACAACTGGCGAGGCATCGTTAGTGCTGCATCTTTCTGGAGATGAAACATGTGGAATACATGTTGTTTGTACCAGGAAGCTCCTGCAAAGCCCAATGCAGCTGGAAAAGATGGCAAGGTCAGGTTTGTGTGTTTCAGCATGTGATGCGTTGCTGTATTTTGCTTTTCTTTCAGGACAATGCAGCCTTGCTGGCACAGTTCCAGGAGAAGACTCTAGTGTTTCACTCGTCATGTCGTTTGTTTCTTATTCTTAACTGGACTGTGGGAGGCACCCATGCTGAAGGAAGCGGGCATCAATGTGCCAGAGATGGATGCCAATGCCATGCGGAAGTCCTTCAGCGCGGTGGAACCCAATGGTGTCGGTTCGACTATGCAGATCCTGTCCTATGCTAAGTTGATATATGATGTGCATGATCTATACATGTTCTTGGCATTTGGGATCAATGCTGCACTCCAGTGTGTTTTGGTTGTCAAGGTGGCACGCTGACCAGATCTATGTCAACCGCTCTGTGGTGACTCCCGAGCTTGCCACGTTGGTCAAGCAGAATGCCAAGGGCGGAACGACTGTGAGTGTGAAGCGCCATGGTGGCTGGTCTAAGAGCTATCTTTTGGCCAAGCAATTGGCGGGGTGGGCAAGCAGCCCATAAAATCCAAAATGGATGTGGGGCCAAAGGTGCCACCGCGTTGGATTTCCAAGAGCGGTGCTGAATCTGGGGGGAAAGAATTTGATAGCTGCCAATGCATCCCTCAAGTTAGCAAATATGCGCATGATGATGTGCGGATGTGCAAAAATCTCATCATGCATGTGTTCAAGGATGTTCAGGGCGTCTCCATGTTCTGATGAAAATTTATTTGATTTTGCAGCCATATAGCTATAGGGTTCAACCTGCTAGCAAGCTGTGTGCAATGCAGCAGGGTCAGCGCCGGGGGATTCGGCTGAGTCAAAGGGAGGTTTCGCTCTTGCTGGCTGTTGGCCTTCCAGCCCTAGTGACTTTTGGCTGCGCTATTTTGTGTGGCACTAAAACAATTTTGGTTGCATCAACGTGTCCCATGCATGCATCAGGATCCACCTATGCGATTTTGTGGCCGAGACATGTGAGCTCCATGCGAGCCAGGCTTGGGATAGTTAAGTGGCTGCACAGCACTGTTGTGATTCCTTGGTGTCTTTAGTCATTATTGCTGAAGTGTACATGTTCACCATCCTGTTCAGGGCGGCATTCCCTATGAGCGTGTGCAATTCTCAGCTTGTATGCTTTCTCACTGTTCAGTTGTTTATGAAGAGTGGTGGTGCAAGGATCTATTGCTCCTGGAGCTCTTCAGTGGATGCTCGCAACTGACCAGTGTTTACCGTCACAGCCTCAAACTGGAGTGCTTTAGAATCCAGTGAGAATGAACTCCATCATGACATGAAGTTCAAATCAATACATCCTGTTGAGGTCAACATGGTGCTCGGGCGTCGGTGTCCCAGAGCCACGTGATAGATCAGCGTCTCAGAGCCACTCATACTGAGTGATGTTCCCTATGCATTCACCTTAATCATCTTCATGATACTTGCAGGCAATGGTATGACTGGGAATCCGGTCGGGGCTCAGACAACGATTTTCTGAGCAACCGTGGTTTTGCAACGGCGCTGCGGGATACATTGCGCTTGAGACGGGGGGGGCTCTTATTTGCAGGGCTCCCTTGTGGGTCGTGGCTTGGCTGGTATTTTATAATATACATATATGATGTATATATATATATATATATATACTTAGAAATTACTCAGCTGTGGATACAAAATAATTTGTTTGCATCCTTAGCTGAGTAATTAGTTTGATTCGCATTATTTATACGGTATATTATTATTTATATCGTGTGTGTGAGCATGTCATGCGATTCGTCTTCATTTTTTTCTCACCAATATATGCATTCATGATTTGAGGTGGATTTGGATCTCAAGTGGAACCCATGGCCGCAACTGGTCCATTTTGGGGGACGATCGTTCCTTTGCTGCATCAATGCAACATGATTCAAATTTTGGTATTGCTTCCAACTATATATATTTATATCCCTGACACCCCATGCCT